AAGGAAGGAAGGAAGGAAGGAAGGAAGGAAGGAAGGAAGGAAGGAAGGAAGGAAGGAAGGAAGGAAGGAAGGAAGGAAGGAAGGAAGGAAGGAAGGAAGGAAGGAAGGAAGGAAGGAAGGAAGGAAGGAAGGGGTGCTTTGGACAGGGTGACCAAAAAGGTAAATTGGGAGCCAAAAGAAGTGCGGAGCCCTCACCTTCGTGGGACCTGGGCTGAGACGTCATGGCTGGAGGTATGGAAGGCTTAGGGGAGAGGCCATCAACATCACAGAGATCAGCCAGCATGCCTTGCAGCTTCACCCTGCGGGGTCCTGGAAAGAAGGAAGGGAGAGAAGGGAGGGAGGGAGGGAAAAGCGAGTCAGCCTGGATGGTTGCTAGACAACTCAGCCTCAAATTTCTATCACTAAATGAGAACCCAAAGGTGCTTTTTTCTCCCCCCAAGAAGCAACTGGACTTCCTGGTTTCTCTTTGAAGACGTTTCGCTTCTCGTCCAAGAAGCTTCTTCAGATGAGAAGCGAAACGTCTCCAAAGAAAAAACCCAGAAAGTCCAGTTGCCTCTTGGAAAGAGAAAAAAGCACCGTCGCGTTTGGGACAACCAGGGCCTGGAGGAGGGAGGATCTCCGTAGATACCAAGGAAGACGTTTGTTTTGTGAGTTTTGTGTCCCATTTCGCAACTTTCTTTGCCAGGGTTACGAAGTGAATCGCCGCAGTCGTTAAGCCACTAACGTGGTCGTTAAGTGAATCTGGCTTCCCGCTTGTCAGGGGATTGATCACAAAAAGTGATCCCACGACCTTGGGACCCCGCGACCGTCATTAACGCCGAGTCAGTTGCCAAGCCTCTGAATTCTGATCACACAACCACCACAGGGAGGCTGCAACGGTCGTTAAGTCTGAAAAACGGTCATAACTCACTTTTTTTTTCCTGGGCCTTTAGATGAGCTTTAAATGAACTGTTTGTAAGACAAGGATCACTTTCCGTCTGAAACGGGATGGGGTCTCCTGCTTGAGCGGGGGGGGTTGGTCTAGAAGACCTCCAAGGTCCCTCTCTTCCAAGCCCTGTTATTCTGTTAATGTGGGTCTCAGGCGGCTTCTCCTGTCCCCGAGTGAGGAACCGTCTTCTGACCCCCAGCAGCTACAACCTCAAAGCGTCTGACGGCAGCTTCTTCCCCAGGGATTGAACTCCCTTCTCCCACTTCCAGGTACCACCGTTCCCTGGGGAAGAAGAGGTCAACGCCACCGAGGACTTACCCAGTTCGTTGCTGTCTCCAGCACGCCGCGTGTCCCCAGACCCTTCCCCGTTTTCCCCGGAGCCCAAGTAGTCGAACTCGCTCAGGGCGTCCTCCGAATCTTCGTCATCGTCTTCATCCTCCACCTCCGGCATCAGGGACTTGTTGGCCAGCTGCCAAGAAAAGCACAGGGCAGCCGAGCTTGGTTAGGCCTGGATTCCTAATCCACCTGTAGGGGATTCCTCCCCCCTTTGGCCGTAGAAAAAACCCGTTTTCCCGTTTGCGGCCTGGCACGCGATGGGAGACGGAAAGGCTGCAAAATATTCCTTGCGCCCCCACCCACCCCATCGAACAGAAGGGAAAGCAGGCCGACTCTGAGACACAGAATTCACTGTCACCTTTGACCCTGATTTCCCCCCCACCCATTCTGGGTGTATCGTAATTCATATTCTCCAATGGGACACATCCATAGGCCAAGAGTCATCAATCACATTCTCCAATTAGATTTTTGC